CATATGTTGCATTAACATTATAGCCATCAATTTCCATTGAACTCCATACTTCAGCAAATACATTTCCTGCAAATTCGAAATTAGATCTTTCTAAAGGTTCATCAATTGTAACCCACGTTCATCCAAATGAGAGTCAAAATAGTCATGAGGAAATATTAAACCAGCCAGTTTCCGACTAAGAGGAGCCATTCTGCGCTCTACTCTGTTATACGCACTTCTTCCAGGAGCATTGGTAGCTAAAAACAATGCATCGAGATCATGTCGCTTAAAGTGTTGTATAGCAAACCCTATGACTTTTTGATAACGTGGATTTTCATCTGACCCTCCATCAACCGTCATGATTACCACTGGTTTTACTAGTCCATGGTCAGTTGTAGCTAATGGTCGAAACGTTCGTCTTCTATCATCTGCTGCACTCCCAAATAAAGCTATATCCGCGATTGTTTTCAATAGTGAATGTTGATTGCTTTCAAGATTAGGACGTCCCACTGAATCCCTCAGAGATAGTCTTTTTTTTATTTCTGGATTTTCATGACAAATGTCTTCTTTCTTTTCATACCATCCCTGTTTTTCTTCTGGTCAACTGCGTTTTGAACCTTCCTGTTTAAAGACTGTTTTGCTGTTTTTATTTCCTCGCGCAACTTAATGATCTGTTTATCAACTTCAGCATGGCTTGGTATAGTATCTCTGGCAGAATACAAAGCATTCAGATTTTTTTCGAGTAGAGCAATCTTATTTTTAATAGCTTCCTCAGAAGGTTTTCCTCTCTGTTTATCTGTATTTTCATTAATTTCGCATTGCTGTTGTGATTCATTACCAGGTTTTATTTCATCTTCGCCCTCTTTTTTAATATTTGAAGCTGTATAATTTGTGTTTTTTTCTGCAAGTTTACAGGTTGCCTAAAAATAAAAACTTTCTATGGCTTCTGCTAAAGATTATCTTATTAAGCTACATAAATACAAATTATGGCAATATATAATTTAAATCTAATGTTTAAACGAGCAATTCGTTCCGGTCACAAAATACAGGGTGTTAGTTTTCTGTATATATGTATAAAACTAACATCCTGTACTTTGTCACCAATTGACGGAATCAATCACAAGAAATAAATCTATAATATAATGAACATTACCTCTATACTTTGAGATACGCCATACTATTTTCTAATCAGTAAAGAGAAACTTTTTGGCGATTTCTAATATTTCTAGTACTCATAGGTACCTAAAATGATTTCGTCACTCACCTTACAAAAAAAAATTAAGTACAGTGGACTTATTCTTAGTCGCCGCTTGCAATTCTTCTTCGATTCTCTTAGATACAATAATATCTAGTTCCTTGTCGGATTTTGCTTGTAATTTGTAATTTCGCCACACGTCGTTAACTAACTTTTGTACATTTTGTACTTTCGTACTTGTATGACATTTTTTAAGACTTTCAAACAATTTTTGGTATAACTAGGATTTGTCTATGTGAAACATCTTATATAAACATTTAACTTTGGCTAATGGAGTCAATGGTAACACAAATGTTAACTTGCTTTACTATGCTTACAATACGTCTACTCGCTATCGTATCCAAACGAAACAATACACTGATAGAGGAAATTTAGACAAGTGAACACCGCGCGGTAATTCCCCTACTCGGTTCTAAAGCGAGTAGGGGAATTACCGCGCGCTGTTCACTAAACGTATGCATTATTTGCGGGAATCCCCGAAAATGCGTTTCGTTTTCAAGCAAAGACAATGTGAGGGTTGCCACCCGTGTAAAAAAGTAAATAACTGCCGATGACGTAATCATCATCTAGACTCCCCTACCCCCCATGTCATCCAAAATAAGCAAAGCAAAGATACCCCGCCCCCCCCAACCCCCCCCCCCTAGTGCTCACGTAATACTTGAACGGCCCATGGTACAATTTTACCATGTAGTGTGATGACGTAAAAAAGACGCAGATTTTGTTGGAACCAGTAATGCCCTATATATAGGCTTTTCATGAACAAAATTTCTCAGATTGCGACAACAAGCGTACTCGTTTTTCAAAAACTAAAAAAAAAAATCGTTCTTCCCATAGTAGCAACCTTGTGTGAAAATTTAATCAAAATCCAAGGTACTTTCCAAGACATAGGCGGTCTAAGGATTAGCGGACAGACAGACAGACGGTAATGAGTGACATGGTTTTTCGTTATTACAATACTTCCCTGCTAGTGTTGAGGAAGTAAATCACCGAATTTAAATTATGAAAGGCTCTGAATGCGGAGAAGAATTTGATGTTTAAGAGCTTGTGTATATAATGTTTCAGCAACATTGCGTCACAAAAACAAGCAATCAAGGAGAAACGAGTCATTTAGAATTCATAAAATTGTAAATGTTCCCGTTAACATCAATCCTCATCTGAGTGAGTCAATTTTAAACTCTTGAAACGCCTGTCAAAATAATCAAACTCGCAATGGTAAACACTTTCCGACATCGCCTTCTTTAATCCCATCATCTATTCTATGTTTTTGTTGTTTTATCGGCAGAAATATAGACGAGAAGAATATATACAAAGCTCTTTCGCTGAAATATTAATCGCTCTATTAATCTGGCTAAACTTGTAATTTGATTATTATTATTCAACGCCTTAACGCAGTTTAACCTGTTACTTTTATAACTCTGTTAAGCTGAGAGCTAACAAGGATTTACATTCGTCCCAAATCTAATTTTTTAAAGATCAGCTCAATTTTCTTGATTCGTTATAGCAAATCTATGGAGTTGTGTCTATGATGATATAATTTTCAATTTATTAGCGAATTCATAGAACATTTGGATAGCCAAATAGGAACACTTAAAATAGTTTTATTCACTGGAGCGTCTAACAAAATTTCATTGTTTACATTTCACACCTGTGTCTTATCAATTTTATTAGCGGCCTCGTTTTACTGTGTCAAGTCGAAGTTGAAGCTCCTTGTTTTTACGGCTTCCACTGCTCGTGACAGTAAAGTGTGAAAATGTATGAGTTGTTTAATGAAAGATTCCCTCATAATATCGAAGTGTACGAGGGGTGTCTTTTAAGTTTTGCATATAGAAACATAGTAGGCCGCGCGGGTCGAACGTCAGTACTGAATCTTAACCTCACTCTTTAGTAAACTTAAATTCAAAGTTTCACAACAATACATGCAGTGTTCTCACTACAGTGAATTTTTAAGTGTCACCAAGTCATTAGAAAAATGGAACTCAACCGAGAACGTTTTCGCGCCATAATTTATTACAACTTTCATAGGCAATTATCGCAACAAGAATGCCTTGCTGAGTTACTGTCTGTTTTCGGCAACGAAGCACCACATCACTCGACAATTTCCCGTTGGTATGGAGAATTCAAACGTGGACGTGTGAGTCTTAGCGACGATTCCAGGGTGGGTGCACCAAGAACGGCAGCCACCCAGGAAAACGTCGATGCTGTGCGCAAACTCATCATTGAAGATAGACATGTGACATATCGCGAGATTGAGGCGTCCTTGAAGATCTCAAAGACCTCAATTCAAAAAAATTTACATGAATTAGGAGTAAGAAAATTAGTTTCTCGTTGGATACCCCACCTGTTGACTGAAGAGCAGAAAGCAGCCAGGGTTAATTGGTGTCAAAAAACGTTTGACCGTTTCAATTCCGGAAACTCAAAAAATGTTTAGAGCATTGTTAGTGGTGATGAATCGTGGATTTACTGTTATGAAGCAGAAAATAAACGACAGTCGGCTGTTTGGGTGTTCCAAGGTGAAGAAAAGATAACAAAAGTCATCCGTTCTCGAAGTGTTTCGAAAAAGATGGTCGCGAAATTTGTGTCATTGCAACAATTCCTCTTAATGAGCAAGGAACTGTTACTGCGGATTGGTATACCACCATTTGTTTGCCAAAAGTCATCACCGAGCTTCGAAAAATCAACCCCGAAAGAAGAATCATCCACCAAGACAATGCAAGTTCGTACACAGCCCAAAAAACAAGGCAGTATTTAACGGAAGAAAACGTGGAATTATTGGACCATCCTCCATATAGTCCCGATCTAAGTCCTACCGATTTCTTTACTTTCCCGAAAATTAAAAACAGACTGCGTGGTCAAAGGTTCCAGTCACCAGAAGAAGCAGTTGACGCATTCAAAAATGCCGTTTTGGATCTGCCAGCAAACGAGTGGAATACATGCTTCGAAAATTGTTTCGAGCGCATGCAGATGTTTATTAATCTTCGTAGAGAATACTTCGAAAAACAATAAAGTCATTTAAAACTACCTACCGTGTTGTTTTATTTCCATATGCAAAACTTAAAAGACATCCCTCGTATGTATATGAATAATTACCGAGGTTGAGAGCGTATAAATATACTAACGTCAAAAATTGAGATATACCCCCCTACCCCATAATTTTACTTCTAAAAAGTTTTCCAACAACGATCAAGATCCACTTAGGCCCGTATGGTTAGTCGTTCCTACAATACATTGTAGGACGCCTTTATGGCCTCCTTGATTTTCATAGCTTTTCCTGTCCTTCAGAAAGGCAGGGGTGCTTCTAGATTTCTACTGTTTCGTGTCAGCGCTCCATTTTGAGGTTATATTTTTTTTAATTCGAATAAATTTCTTAAGATTCAAAAAAACATAACCTCACAATAGGAGAGCGCTGACGATGAAGGAGAGAAAACACTATGAAAATCAAGGAGGCCAAAAAGGCGTCCTACAAGTGTAGGAATGACTGACGATGTGACCCTTAAACCTCAAAAAGATCGATGGTAATTTGTTTATTCTTGGACTTTTTCTCCGGCGCCAGTGAAACGATTTTGAAAAACTACAATGCTTTTTCGTCATTGGCATACTAGTAACCTTTCCAAATTATAGCGGACAGACAGACGGACCGAAGGAAATGAGTGATATCGTTTTTCGTGACATACGTCATACGACATTCTAAAAACATACTCTCATTTCCGAATTTCGCGGTTAGAATACTTTCTCGCTAGTAGGCGTGGGAAGTAAAAACAACTGTAAATAATTTAAGAACACGTTCTTTATTATAGAGATGTTGAAAAGAAACACCTCAAATGTATGAAGTATGCGATTTGCTGCTTAGGACTACGGTACAATCATTTATATCATACATATGACAGCATTTTCTATGGATCGCAGTTTCTGCTGGTCTTTCCGTACTTCTGTTTGAGAAGGTCTGTCAATTTCTCAGCCATCATGGCACAAATTGCGACGGGTTGTCCAGAAGGGGCAAGAGGAAATACGCTAGCGTCGCACACTCTCAGACCTTTCACGCCGTATACCTTCAATAGGAGAAAATTTATTACAAAAAAAAATGCTCGAAGAGACACTTTGACTATATATTATGAGGCACATAGAATAATAATGGTCTAACTCCTCAGATGTTCCAGTATTATCCTGAATGGATGATAATACCATTTTTACAGTGAAGTATATTGAATTAAAATCAAAATATGAGTCTGATGGCGCCATCTATTGACCGGAGACTGAAACAAGGAGTTAGACTAGATTTATACTGATAGATCTAGGTAGATTGATACCTTTTATGTGAATGGCGCAAGTTTTCAAAAGAGTGGACTTAGACCATTATTATGTGCCTCATTTTTCCGACCTTGAATTGGCTGTTGACCACTGAGTTCGTAGTAGCGCCCATCAGACAACTACCTACAGGGTGGAATGCTGATTTAACTGCTTGTCGGATGTAACAATACCAAAAGTCCTTCGACAGGTACTTCATCCGTTGGCAAGCTGGAATATGGGGTACTGCTAAGGTGGCATTGATCGACTGGAAACAAATAATGTTGAAGGGCTATGACTTATTTTGAAACGTATCGTTATTTACTTGAAAAGCTGGTGTTTTAATTAACCGCAGAGCTATTTGGATTCCTTGGTACAATGTTTCGATGTCCAGGCCTTTCGGATCACTCAAATAATTTCCATCGATTAGGGGATACTCATACGGACTACTTGATTTTAGTCTGTAATGATACGTCATTTTAAATATATTGAGGTGAACCGTTTTTGGAAAATATTATTTTAAAACTGACCTAATAGACCCTGTGGAGTGACTGTGCAACAACAAAGCAACAAGAGTGAATGCATTCTTAACAGTTTGCCCGTACAATTCTTGGAATATCTCATTATTCCAATTCAACAGCTTCTTAGTCATCTCCGAAATGCCACCTTGGGATATGGACAGCTGCAGATTGGGATACGTCTGAGACTCTTTTCCGCTGAAAGTGTTGTACGCGCCGATAACGTCTATGGGATTGGCGGCTGTTAAAATGCCATGACCGGTCAAGTACTCCTTGATTTGATCGGTTTGCGAGTGGTTGACGGACGAGCTCAAATTTGACGAGAAAAATACCTACAAGAGAATTTATTACACATTAGTAAAGTCGGTTTTGGTTGAAAATTATTCTATTATCGTTATTTTTTTTCAGTTGAAATAAGTTTTATAATTTAAACTTTAGAGCATTTATGTATTTTGTTAAAAACCTGCGTCATGAGATGATCTCTGAACGTGCTGCCAACTTCCAAATTTTCTAGTACTTCGATTCCATGCTGTTTTAAATGATCTTTAGGTCCGATTCCGCTCAACATCAATAATTGGGGGCTCCCGATCACTCCTGCAGATAAGATTACTTCGTGGTTCACACGAGCCCTATTACAATAATAAACTAGTCATTCTGACCGGTCCAGATTCCTTTATGCATTTACCTGTAAATTTTCATGTTCTTCGTGAATAACACTGCAGTTGCATATCTGGTCGAATTGAATTCAATTTTGATGACGTAGCTTTGTTTGGAGATCTTCAGATTGTCTCGTTCATTCATTATGGGCTTAATGAATGCTGAATATTGATCACATCTATGAAAATTTTTAAAAAAGGCATAATCTACCTGTATGTATCATGTTTAACAATTTTAATTCTGCTAACCTTCGACCGTTTTTCGTGTTTATCTGCAATATAGCCGACCCAATCTGTTCTTTGCCATTATAGTCTGTGAACTTGACGCCCATATCAACATTTCCGGCTAAGAATATCTCTGAGAGTGGATAAAATTTCTCAAAATTCGACACTTGCCAGTATCCATCAAATCCATGGTAACCTTCGTCTATAAATCCGTCTTCTACGTTACCTATTAATAATATTTTTTAATTTTGATAGAGGTGAAGTTAGAGAACTAGTTCTGCACAATACTGACGCACTCACATTTGTTAAAATACTTTATTAGACGTACCAGTATAATTTTCTGATTTTTTTAAGTACGGCAGCACATTTTTGAATGCCCAACTAGGATCTTTGACCAACTTCGCCCACTTATCGTACATTTGTGGGTCTCCTCGAGAATAAACCAGCTCCGATATCAGAGTGGTACCGCCGGTGCCTTTGCCTGTCGGTAACCTGCATTTTTGATTTATATTGCCTAATTGAGAAAATTTATATAATTAATCCATTACGTTTACCTTTATGCACCACATATTTTGAAACGCCATTGTAAATTATTTCACAAACCATGTGAATCTTTATTTTTAATTTAAAAAATATCCGGCCTCAAGTGAATGTTGTGTTGATATTTTTTATTAGCGCTGCGATTCAGAAAAAAGTCGCGCTTAAATCGGTTTAACTCTTTAAAGAGCTTTGTTTTTGCGTTGGGGTTAAAAAGGGTATACCTTTTCGATGTTCGGTACTTCGTAAATAATGAAAGTGGATACAATCGTCTTTTTAATATTGTCATGTAAAATGAGATAACTCATAACTGGAGGTAATATTTATATTGCAGCGTTTGAATAATTATGTATTTTTAAAATCGAATTAGCAAATGGACGAATCCATTGAAAAACTGTATAATCTATTTTTGCTACAGTTTTTCTGCATTTGGATATGAGCCAAATCAATACATCTTACAGTTTTTGATTCAGTTAATCTGTATTAATCATCTGTTGATTCAAGTATTATATTTTAAATACATTGAAATGCTCTCATCACCCATTTACAAACAGGGATTCTGTCGGCTCACTTTTTTCGATTCTTTTCTTTTGTCGATCCATCTCGCTTTTTCTCACTTTTCATCGAAAACATTCACTATTTTCGCTCTCGCTATACATATTGTAGCTGAAAAACGTTTCCGAAGGAGCCGTCCTCGTTCTCTCAATCCCCACGAAATTAAATGAGGTGTTTTTTTTTAATAAAAATTAACTGATACAAAGTTGTTCATGTAGAGGGTCCTTCCCAAGCTGAGCCAATTTACATAAGAAATTACTAGGATTAGTTGAAATCTACGTTGAATTTTAATTCAGCTTTACTAAAAGCACTATAAATTCAGGGTGGGGCATCGAAAATGAAACAGGCGCATTTACTGGCAGCTCAGTCTTTTTTTGGAAAGTTTGACAAAAAATCACGTTAACACGTGCAGCCCCCTGGGCGGGGTTGACACCAACCCTAAAATCTTAAATGGAAAGGGGGGTCTAGTGATACCTTATTTTAAAGGTCTTTCAATTCCCTTTATAATGATATAAAATACATGAGCTTCAGTTTAGTAGTTTTGAAGATTTATTGATTTAAAGCTTAAAGTAGACTTTAATAGGTACATCAGATTAGTTTATACTACTTTCAGAAGAAATTTGACTAAAAGAATTTTCTTAATAAGTGAATGCTTTTCTTCACTACGCCCATGGTTTGTTTATCATTTTGTTGTTGAAAATAGCTACTGGAGCGTTTTTTTATGACAAAAAAGTTATTTCTTGAAGAAAGTTATGGAAATATCTCGAACTTACTTTAAATAGGAATTTAGTATAGTTTGCGATGATTTGACCAAACTTTGTTGCTAAAATAACTTGTAACGCTTTATTACATAAATTAACCATGGTATATTCCACAGCAGAAAGAGTTGAAATTATCGAAATATTTATCGGAAATAATCAGTGCGCTAATAGAACAGCAGAAATATTTAATGAGCGACATGAGAACAGTAACGTGCATCGAAAATATGTTCTAGAACTTGTAGCTAAATTTCGGGAAACTGGGTCAGTCGCCAATAAAAAACGCAACATTGAAAATCCCATAAGGAACGAAGCAATAGAAGTGGGGGTTTTAGGGCAAGTTTGTGTAGATCCTACGTTAAGTGACTGTGTGTGGTATTAGTCGACGTACTGTCCAACGGATTCTAAAGGCCCATAGTTTTCATCCGTATAAAATTCACCTGGTATAAGAACTTAATGAAGACGATTTTGATCGGCGATTACAATTTTGTGAAGATATGAGTGAACGAATTATAAAGGATGAACATTTTCTATTCAACACTTGCTGTTCCGACGAATGTTCCTTTTTCGTAAATGGCGTAGTAAATCGTCATAACTGCCGATATTGGTCCGATTTTAATCCCAGAATTTATCATAAGGTTCATACACAGCAGCCATAAAAATTAAATGTTTGGGCTGCTATTTTTGGCGATCACTTAGTTTGTCCTTTTTTCTTACCTGGAAATTTGACCGGTGAAATGCATTTGGAATTACTGGAAGACGCCATAGATCCTGCATTAACAGCCATAATTGAAAATCAGAATGATCGGCGGTACATTGCGAATAGGTTGATGTTCCAACAGGATGGTGCCCCACCACATTACGCATTACGTGTTCGACAATATATATATAGATCAGAAGTTTCCAGATCGATGGATTGGTAGAAGAGGTGCCATTGAATGGCCCGCAAAATGTGCTGCAACGTTTTGAGCAAAATCTTTATTATTGCACGGAGAGTCATGGTGGCCATTTTCAACATTTACTTGCCTAACGGGTCAGTTCATTCCTCATTTTTAAATTACTTTGCTGCCAAATGTAATGATCTCCTGTAATGATGATGTATTAGTTTAATTTAAGCTTTAAATCAATAAATATTCAAAACTGATGAACAGAAGTACATTAATTTTATATCATTATAATGGGAATTGAAAGACCTTTAAAATAAGGTATCACTCGACCCCCCTTTCCATTTAAGATTTTGGGGGTGGTGTCACCCCCGCTTAGGGGGCTGCACATGCTAACGTGATTTTTTGCCAAACATTTTTCCCCCTCGAAAACAAAATCGACGGGTCTTAGCGTTTTTCAAAAAAAAAACTGAGCTGCTAGTAAATGCGTCTGTTTCGTTTTCGATGCGCCACCCTGTATATATATGGTATTCATAGTTAATTGCCTTAACTGTTAGGAGAAGATATTCTTTAATTTCTTTGGGTAGAAGGCAAAGTATTGCAAAAGTACACTCTACAATTCCTTAAACTCTCAACCTTTCGAAGATGTATGTCTTCATAGTCTGGAGTAAGTCGGCGAGATTGTTGCTGAAATTATTTTTAAAACAACAGTGAAGGGAACACATAGTCGACGAATAAAAAACTGGACCGATCCGGTTCGATTAGGATGGAATTATTTTATTATTATTTTGGAAGAAATTTGATAGTTTTAAAATCACCAAATTTCTTCTATAATAACTATATCAAATTATAACTTTTGAACATTAAATAGTGAAAAAGGCCTTATAAGAGCTTTTTTCGTTGTTTTTACACATATTCAATTTCTCAAAAAGTTAACTCAATTTTTTATGTTTAAGCTCACTGTTTTCTCACTACTTTTTTTGAAAACCCCGCTTTCCTCACTTAAATTCATGCTTTGTGCCGCCACCACCCTTGAGAAAATAGCCTAAATCTTCTAGAGTTTAATTTTGAATGGGCTATAACTTTTAACTTACCTAAACAAGCATTTTTCTGAGGAGTTGTCTGATATCCCCAGTTATAATCAGTTAAAACATTGACAGCGAAATATCTGGGAATCATAACGAAATCGTCCGGATCATCTCCCGCTTCCAACAGCAAAATCTCCCAGTCTTTTATTTCGGAGATTCGATTCGCTATCACGCTTCCGCTGGCTCCGGCTCCTATCACGATGAAATCGTAGATGCCAAAATCTAATGGATAAATATTACGAATTTAAAAAAATCTACTCCACTTTTTTCTCTATACTTTCCGGCTTCAATTTTAAGTTTATGAATAACTTACAGTGCTAAATTCTTTCAAGAAATAAAATTCAAATGACCTACCTGTGACAGTAGCCTTATCCGTTGCTTCGTACATCTTAGCATCCTCCTGGAACTTGTAATTCAAAGCATGATCTGTTCTGCTTTTGATCATATCCTCGAAATATTGCTGTCTATCACAGTGCACAAAACCGATAACTAGAGCGAGGTCGATCAGAAAAAATGGTGACATGGTGTTTGTTTTTTCGTATAATGCGTGAATTCCGGTCAGGTCGGTGTCGCCGACTGAACAGAGTGACAGCGATATGGATTGTCGCATTCGAGGGATTAGTTTCCGATAGATAAAAGCAGATAGTCTGTTGATAAGTGCTAATGAACTTGCATTATTAAAGTATTAGTTACAAAATAATGAATATGCGTGTGTGACTCAGTTTGACGAGCCTTCGCATAGCTCTATATCTGATTCATCATATTTATCTTCCTCATTAAAACGTATTTTATACTAATACGTGTTATTTTTCGAAAATGTTTCGTCCATATCCCAAGGCACTCCTCATAGGTTTCCAACATCTTAGTCATGAAGTTAGATCACCATCATATTATTGAACTCCATAAGAAAAGCAGCGACTGTCCCTCTGACGATAGACCTGGATGTTATCACTGCTTGACTGACAAGAAGCGCCCTAGCGCTAATCTGGTTTTGATGGATGGCTGAGTTCTACTAAAGACCCGTTCATTTCGTCTGGTCGAAGTCCACATCACAAACACATCTCGTCAATAGCGGCAGTTGCTTGTTGAAAGCTAGGCTGTTTGTTTAGTGCTAACAAGTTCTTTTCTCCACATGACCTCTTCACTCTGTACAAGGTCCAGATAAGCCCTAGCCTCGAGTACTGCTCACATGGTGCCTTGAACATCGTACATCCAGAACTCGCCGATACGACCACTTCTATGGCCTAGTTATCGACATTGTGGAACGATCTACCTGAGGTTTGTCCCAATTCTACTAACCTTATTCGGTTTGAAAATTTACTAAACAAAGTTTCTTTGAGCTCCTTACGGCATAAAAAATGGAGTTGAGTAGGTTCACTCTGTACTTTCCACGCAACGCTGCCAACAGTTCAGAAAGGATTATGCGCTGCACAAGTTAGTCTTGTTTCCACCTATCCCGGTTGACTGTACTATGATGTCTGTTAAAACGGCTGCATTGCCGCTAGTGGGACCCCTCACGGCCAACACGCAAACTGAAGAGTGGCACGGACTCGTTTCCCGCAACTGGAAAATGGGAAAGTGAAACATTTTCTAAATATTTTGACGATTATTTATTACAGCTTTGTGGTTGTGTTTTGTGTTTTTATTTATGAATTCTTGAACACTTTTGAAATGTGTATATGGACGGATTAAGTATGGGTGCTCTGGTGATTGATGACGACTTAAAATGCAGTGTGATGTGGATTGAAATTGTGAGTGTTTTTTTTTGTTTCCGCATGATTTGGCATTATTCCAGTATATGTGAATTTGGTTCATGATGGAAGCATCAAGATTTTTAAACATTTTCGTTACTTTGGGGCCCTCAAATGGAGTTGGGTTCTGGTGCAACTGGCAGTGGCCCGCCGGCTCTTCAAATAGTTTTGGGGGCAGGTACGCTTTGACAAAAGGTTGTCTCTTGCCGAAGATCGGTCCCCTGAAAAAAATTTCTTAGGCCTCCGAGGAAAGCAACCGTTACTCTACATCTTCCTACGGGCCGCAAGCAAATTTAATAATTTTAATAGGATTGTTTACTTTCAGAAGAGACAACAAAATAAAATACATAGTTTCCATCATTTAAACGCTCCAGCTCCTTGATTATAAGTTTTTTTGACATACATTCATGGAACCATTTTTTCTTATATGTTTGAATTTCATTTCGGATAACCCCGCATCCCTGACTGCAACATTGTAAAAAGTAGAAAATCTCCTGAAATATCCCCAACTGGTGCACGATTGCGCTGTTGCGATGTTTGTCGGTCATTTCGCGACGGCTGGCTAGCTTCCCACATCGCACAAAATCGACCCGGTCGTTCGCCGTTTTTCTCTCGATCCCTTAGCATAATCTAGGTAGAGTTAGCATTGGTTTGTTACGGCTGCGTAGATGTTTCTGAAACTACGAGTAATTCGCAACCGATTGTTTGGTTAGACGCTCAGATTAGCATTCCACCGTCCCGAGTTCGATCCTGGGAAACAGAAAGCTTTATTTTGCTTCTTTGTGTATTTAGAGACACATAATGAATATTGATTGGATATTTTGTATTACTTCGATGGTTGGGTTGTCGCGTCGGTTCGCAAATTAAAACACATTGTTTGACATTGCAAATGATTTGTGTGTGACAATGATCATTCATGAAAAAACATTATTTAGAGCATAACTAAGAAAATTCTAATGTCAATGTCATAAATTCCCCTCACCGTATTCGATTTAAGTTTTTGAGCTTCAAGTAAACAAATTACTCCACAGTAACATAGTTGTTTTAACGATCCGTATTATTTATACTAATCTCTGGTCATTTTCACGGTGTGTCTATTTAAACAGGTTGAAAGGGAGGTGTGCAAGCTTTTACTTAGCTAATAGGTTGTTATGCCGTATGGTTATTGTTCCAACAGAGGATGAAATGAGAGACATACACAGTGGCGGCTGTGGCAAAATAAAAACAGGTGTTCTGCAAATCCGAACTTACCTATTTTTTATATGTCAGTTCGATCCTGCGGTCCTTGGCAGTAAATTTGTCGATCACCTTCCCGTTGAAATTTTCCATGGTCGAAATAAATTCCTTTTCAATGGACAGCATCAACAACGCTGTAAGGCGATCCTGGGTCATAGTATTACGAAGAAAAGTCTTGATTATTTTCAATGTTGAGAAATTTAGCTCAGCCTCTGATGTTGACATAGGACTTGTAACAATAATTTGTTATAGCTTTTTTGTTTCTTTTAGTGTTTCCTCCAAACTATTTTGTATCAAAAATTCCAAAAGAGACAGAGTTACATGTAAATCTCGGCAATCATTCCGTGCATAAATAACAGACAACTCTGTCATTAAACGACTTTTTTCTAATTCGGGATAAGCCAAGCAGGTAGTTTCCAACTTGTCATCAGGAAACTTACCACAGTATTCTCCAAAGTGTTCGGGGAATAAAAGAGATGCGGCTACCAAATGATCTTTGAATTGAAATCTGTCATTTGCAGAATTCACTATATTGTCGCATACTTCTAATGCGGTAACTCGGTGATCGTGACTGCTATCATTGCTATTGGGGTTCAGTGCAAATACTTTTGGATTCATTTATTATGTCATCAATTTTATTTCTCACATCGACAATACATTTTTCAAAATTATCGATAGTCGTTTTAACTTGCGCTGGCTCGGTTTTTCTCTTCAGCAACTGGTTGAACAAGATGTCGACGTGAGGCATGACATGATAAAAAAATGTCAACCAAAACACGAAAACTGAATCGTTTAACATACGGCGAATACCGCAAGCTGCCTTACAAACGGTTTCATTAGTGAAATTTTCTTCTATTTCTTCCATGCATTCAATGAGTGATTCTCTGTTTTCAAACACTACATTTACCTATTGTTCGAATATTAAAATTCGATCGAGTTGTTGCTCCTTGGGAAATTTTTTCCCCACAATTATGTTCAGTACCTCTACGCGTTGAGGAGAATTATTAAAAAATCCCGAAATATCTTTCAAATCCCCAAAGAACACCCGAACTTGAGTATTTGCGGAAGCAGCTTGGGACATAATCAGGTTTAACTGATGCGCATAGCAATGCACGTAGTGAGTAAATGGATATCTTTGTTTAATTTTTGCCTGTACTCCAGCATTATGTCCGCTCATTACCGCGGCTCCATCATAGCTTTGGGTAATCAGTTAGTTAGGGAAATTTCCTATTAATGGATCTACGACGCTCAAAATATGTCTTGTAAGAGTATCAGCGTCACATTTTTCGGGATTCATATAATTCCAAAAACGTTCTACTGGTTCGCGACGAAGATGACAAGTACAGAATTGGTCGATTATACTGCTTTCTCAATACAAAACAGAGTCGACCAGCGTTGCCGGTATTGTTTCTATTTGTGTGATAACATGGAAAATAAATAATGATCAAATTACTACTGCTTTTTTCTGTTAACACAAAAGTTTTGGCAGTTCTGCAACTCTGCAAAACTTAAGGGCCAGCCGCCCCTGGACACACATACACAGAGAGAACAGAGTATGCTGGTGTTGAGATAATTTTATGTAGCTGTTCTAGTAGCTTTTCTACTAATATCCACGCTGAACATATTTTAATAATTCATAAGTGCAGGCATTAATATTCATTTGCAGCACGGCACACAATTTGCGGAGACGGTTGGAAGCCTTACTCTCAGCTCTATTCTGAATAAAACACACCAATTTATTGAGATGAAATCAGCAGCAGTATATACAAGACATTAGCAAAATTAACCGGTCAACCTTTCTGAGGCACTCTGATTAAAATCGTGCCATAATGTTTTGAGAATAATAGTTTGGAAAATACAGGAACCCTTTTTTGATATACATTATGTCCCAATATTCGATGGACATAGACATCATGTATAAAAAATATGTCCCTTCTTACATTCTCTCGAAAACTATGCGGGGTGACCTGCTTTTATGAGACAAAAACTGAAGTAAATAAAAGGATATTTTAAATAAAAAAATTAACTGTAGTTGGGAGAGTTGTGAAAAAATTCTGCTATAATTTTTGTAGCAAACGAAATCCGAAAGTTGTTGGTGGCGCTATAACTCCCCAGTTTGTCCTTAGGCTGCTAAAATGGGTACGAGGGATGTATTTTAAGTTTTGCATATAGAAACATAGTAGGCCGCGCGGATCGAACGTCAGTACTGAATCTTAACCTCACTCTTTAGTAAACTTAAATTCAAAGTTTCACAACACTACAGTGAATTTTTAAGAGTCACCAAGTCATTAGAAAAATGGAACTCAACCGAGAAAATTTTCGCGCCACAATTTATTACAATTTTCAGAGATAATTATAGCAACAAGAATGCCTTGCTGAGCTACTGTCTGTTTTCGCAAACGAGGCGTCACATCACTCGACAATTTCCCGTTGGTATGGAGAATTCAAAGGTGGACGTGTGAGTCTTAGCGACGATCCCAGGGTGGGTGCACCAAGAACGGCAGTCACCCAGGAAAACGTCCATGCTGTGCGCAAACTCATCATTGAAGATAGACATGTGACATATCGCGAGATTGAGGCGTCCTTGAAGATCTCAAAGACCTCAATTCAAAAAATTTTACATGAATTAGGAGTAAGAAAATTAGTTTCTCGTT